GACAAAAATATGTTTTTATGTAAGAAATATTGTTAAATATTGTTTGAAATAATTGCTAACCAAAAATTATACCTTTTCACGTTGATAGATTTAAAAAAAACATTCATTCAACTTCACCAACAAGTAATAATTAACATATCAGAATCTCAATCATCTTTAAATTGTTTTACTGTAAAATTTGGCTTTTCCCATATTGTCAGTAGTTTATTAAAGATTTGATATAGACTGCTCAATACATACATTCATGCAAAGCTGTGATTGATTGTTACAACACATGATAACAGGTAACCATTTCTATACAATTTCCTCAAACTAATGAAGGCATCAAAATCAAGAATAATTATCTCTCAAGATACATGTAAATGAACAAAAAATGTCGAACTACCACGAAGGCCTAAGACCTAAACACCCATTGGGTAACGTGGGACTATCAGACTAATGAATGGACTAATGCAAATCACTCAGTTATGGCCATTGAATTCTACGAACCAGTGGTTAGCCTCTAGGGCCATAGACGCGGCGGAAAGGGACGCTTGCACTCTAGTCAAATAAAAAAAAGTGCTAATTACAATATAAATAATTGAAATTATATACATAACACGTATTTATTTTATGTTCATATACATTTTTGGTGAAATTGTGGATGGATTTTTGAGTTTGAGGTGTTTGCGATTTTTTGAGGATCGGCTGCACTGTAAATCGATAGATTTATAGATACCGAAATAATAATTCTTTTAATGTCCATTATCATAAAGAGTGTACAAAATCAGTTATATTGCGTTATGGGTACTCCCTGGCGATTTGAATTAAAAATTGTCTGAACACCAGCATGTGAGGCCAGGGCTGTCCGAATGAACTCAAATTATACAATGCGGTTTATTTGAGTTATTAAGTTATTTGAGAAAACCCGATTTCCAGTGGCGTCCTGGGCATGGGGCCCATTTTGTGCTGCGCGTAGCCGACATTTCTGATATAACCTTGTGGCATGATTTTGTTGTGTTCTTTATGTATTCAAGACATTGCCATCTAATATTTGATAAAGCTATATTGTATCAAACTAATAACGTTGAATAAATTATTAATATAAGTATTATAGTAGTATTCAGCGTTTTTGGCGGTTACATCATCAACGTCATATGAAATATGTAGACAGATCGAGTTCTCCGTACCATGGGCGGAACACCGCGCAGACTGATCTTCAGCGCATCTGCTACTCTCTCCAGCACGCATAAAGTGGGTATCAGGGTCGCTGCTGTTTTAATTCTCTTTTTGGGAATGCTCTAATAAATTTAGCACTAGCTGTCGGCCTTCTCCATTGATCGTATTTCCGGGCATTGTACAGTTTTATATTGAAGATTGATAACAGGACAACTCGAATTGCACGCCGATGTCAAGTAAGTTTTTACTCTGACAACTATGATTGAAGGGCACTCATACGTAATGACAAAGTTCTCGAGACGGAAACACAACTGAAAAACGTGTTTTATTACCGAACAAACGTTCACACACAGGGGTAGGATGCATGTTTGTGTATGCATGAAGGAGATGGATATATATAAAGGGATACTGGATACTTTGACCCGCCAAGAATGGTTACGACAACTTTGTTTAGTAGTTCTTTCCCCACTTTTAGTATAGGTGTGATGATGGAATTTTGCCATTCTGTGGGATATTCTACTTCTCGCCATATTTGGTTGTCATTGCATATTATTGTATTATCAGTATGATTATTAATATTATTATTAACTATTATTATTATTATTCGGAACTTCATAACTTTCTTACTTTTAAGTCGATTTTATTTACTTCTCCGGTAGACTCTAGGTACAATTGGCATTATTGTGTAGATATGAGTTCTTGATTGTAGCCACGGTTTAACTTGTACATGGTAAATGAAAATGATGTTTCAGTACTCCTGTGGTTATCAATCAGACCGCAATGCTTTCCATTATAATTAACCACATTTTCTCTATAAACTGGTTTTTCATTCACGTCAATATATACAGTGGATGAAGTTTTAGAGGCAAATGGATATTAAACTACCAATTTTCCTCTCTAGTTTCATAACTTCTGCAATTCCCGTACGAATTCAAAATGTTTTTAACCAATTGTGCAGAAATCTATTGACTTTCTCAGTTAGGTTCACATTTTTTCAAATTGCCATTGATACCGTTTATCTACAGTGACGAAGAAAATAAAAACTTTTGACATAATTTAAAAACACGCTGTATAATAAGTTGACGCTCTACCCTTTTGAAATACAGTGTCAGGGCAATAACATACCTCTCTTATTCTCCAATTTTGTGTTCCTGAAAATTCTATCGAGGATTGTTCTTTTGGAACAAAATGAACACAAACATTTACAAATTTTAACAGTATTATACTCTTCAGATAGACGCCTTCTAGTCGTTCGCGGGTCGACCATTATTCCCAGATAATGTTTTCTTCATTCCATGTGTGGGAACATGATTTTGGCATATTTTGCGTTACACAGAGCGACTGATTTTGAAATTGCATAAAGTCATGGATACCCCCCAACTTGTAACATATTTAACCACAACCAGAAGAACCGGTGTGAAGTTAGGCGCCAGATTCTAGCAACCAATTCTTCCGGGCTTTCACCTGAAGTTAGCAGCCAATTTTCAGCAGCCATTTTTTTGTACCAACTACTGACTTCTTAATGATTCCATCGTATTTCTAGCTATGAAACGGTGGTGTTTTCTCCTTTTTAATAGTAATAATAAAACACGATAAATATAATAAAGTGGTCGGTCACTGCAAAACAGCTATCTAGTGGCGTGCAAATTTAGCCACTAGCTTAAAAAAAAGATAGTAGGGGGTTAAGAGCGCTAGTGACTCTCAAGATGAATTAAGCCACACGTAACGACAAAGTTTTCGAGACGGACACACACAACTAAAAAACGTATGTCCTTGAGATTACCGAACAAACGTTCCCACACAAGAGTAGGTTGCATGTGTAATTGTTTGTCTGAGGGAGATGCAGATATATAAAGGGATAACGGTGACTGGTGACTACAATTATAGTAGTTTACATAGTCCTTTTCTCGGCCTTTGGCGGTTACGTCATCAATGACAAATAAGTAAGCAAACCAAGTGCGGAGCTGAAGCTCGATCTTAAAGAACGTATATTCAAAATCACGAAAGATGACGATTACGTCATCATTTTAGTCTGTAGTAAAGACAAACGACAGCGATTTGTAAATATTCTTAATGAAGTTTCAGATATGTTAGACAGAGGCAAACAGAATTTTATTGTCTAAATAAACTGTATTGCTAATTTGCATGTATCCGACAAAGATAGACGATATTTTCATGTTGCATGATGAATAGTTAGGTTATGTTAAAGCAGGTTAGGTTGTTTTCGAATAATACTTTGGTCTTTGGTGTTCCTGTATTCTACTCATAACTGTTTTTTTTTTCAAAACAAAAACTCCCCACTGTAATTATTATTAAGGTATCACTCAAAACCATGAAATAAAATGAAAATAAAAATAACCAGTGAAATAATCTAACTTCGCAAAATCATAATAAGTATAAATTTGTTGTCATTATGTTCCTGACATCGTCATTATATCATCGACGTACGTCCATTGATTACTTCAGTACAATAAATGGTATGACGTAATAGTATTATTTCCTGATTTTGATTATATGTTTGAGCTTACACAAAAAAAGTATTTACAAAATGCTGCCGCGGCATCACGAATCTATGCGGATCGGTTTCCCAATCGAGTGCAACCAACCCCTCGTGCCTTTGTTAATGTAGTACAAAGGGCTCGTGAATCAGGTGACTTAAGACCTCACAGGGGAGGGCATGCCGGTGCTCCAAGACCGCACGATCAAATACAGGTCCGCACTGAAATACTTGTCGGGTGGATACTTTATAAAACAAGGTAACATTTTTTTTTATTTTTTTTTTATTTTTACACACATATTTTGGTTATCTTCCTTCTACAATCATTATCTGAAAATTAATGACTCAACTTCAAAGTATATGCGTGAGGGAGAAGGATGTATAAAAGTGATTCCGGTAGTTTGCCTACATTTCAGAAATTTGGAGTAAAGGCTAAATTTAGTACCCTACACTTCGTACAAAATTAAGGATAGTGTCAGTCAGCATTTAGTACATAATTTTGTATGAACAAATTGATTGCTAAATTTTTTAGGACATGGGGTCTGATTTTAAATGAGTTTCGACCGTTGACATTAATTTCGATGGCGCCTTGTGACGATACACTTGATTAGCTATATTTATCATTTTCATTTGCCAAGGGACAGCCCCATCACCTATAAACCAATCAGCTATTATTTCTGAGCTGTGCAGCATTTCTAGAATAATTACGGCTATCTGCAGTTGATCGTAAATCTCTGAGTGAGCCACTTTGAACTTCTTGTCTCCACGAACCTTCTACTATTACACCATTTTCAAAGTCTTCATAGTCTACACAGTTTCGGGTTATATATCCATCAGATGTTGTTTTCAACCAGTTGTGTAACGCGCAAGTGGTTTTTACAAGAATGTCAGCTTTTTCAGGACATAACGCAGTGGGTTTCTCAAATATACGAAACTTGGAAACAAGTAATCCAAATGCATTTTCTACAATACGTCTAGCACGAGAAAGCCGATAATTAAAAATATTTTCTTTTTGTGTTAAGGGAGCATGGTGAGAGTAAGGTTTCAGTAAATATTCTTTAAGGGGAAAGCGTCATCGGCTACAGACACTGCATTTGGAGGAAGTTTCAATAAATTATTCTTTATTGCACTCTTCAAACTGCTTTTTGAAAATACGTCTCCATCAGATGCTCTTCCGTTTGCACCCGCATCTATATATTGAAAACAGTATTGGTCATCAACTAAAGCAAGTAGTATAATACTGAATGTCTCCTTCTAGTTGTAAAATTCTGAACCTAAATGGAAAGAACTTCTCAATATAATATGCTTTCCGTCCAAAGCGCCAGCACAATGTGAAAAATTCTACCGTGCTGAAAATCCTTGAACAACTTTTTTCCATTCTTTTTCAGAGGTTGGCACCTGAAAATAATAAATTAAATTACTAATTAGGCACTGGTTTTTTTTTTTTTTTTCTAGGTGATTGAATCACAATTGAAATTTGATGATAGTATAGAAAGTATGCATTCTGCAACTATTGAAGAGGTATTGTCGCCTCCTTCGAATGACTCATTTGTGGCCAGAAAATCAGTCCCTCAAAAATTAACATCGACACAGCTCCAAAGAGGATTGCAAAAAGGGCAAGTAGCACCGAGAGGGCTTTACAAGGGCTACAAGAAATTGCACAACAATTAGATGAAAAACCTAGTAGAGCAGAGGAAAATGAGTTTGATTGTTTTGGCAGGTCGGTGGCTTGTTCGTTGAAGAAGATGCCAGAAACAGTTGCTTTGGAATCAATGGCGTATATACATTCGTATCTTATACGTCAACGGTTAACATCGAATGCCCAACAAATTCAACGACCTTTCTCCTCTGCCTCATCAACCAATTATGAATATGCTGCAACCCCAAGCTCAAACCGTTCATACTACGATGATAATTCTCACGATACAAATTTACATTCAAATCCTGAGCAAGAACACTCTGATATACTTTCACAGGCAATTAATACTTCTCTTTATGACGATGTTTAAAGAATGTCTTTCATGCCAAATTTATCCTATTAAAATGTTTAAACTGTTGCCTATGTTCTACTGTATAATAAATATTATGTATTTGCTTACCTACCTTAATAAATTTTTTTAACAAATCATAAATGGCTTGCAATGAAGTGAAAGAATCTCCTGTTGCAAGATATCTCAATGTTACTTCCATTTTTAATTTTGGTGTTAATGCATCTCTCATGTGGGTATCCATTTTTAAAATACGTCACACAATCAAGGAGAGTATCAAAATTTTGTTTTGTCATTCGAAGATGATTTTTATAGCTCGTTGGATCTTCTACTAACAGTTCTCCTAGAAGTTTTGCAGACGCACCCAAAGTATCTCGACGACTGATCCATGGTTTAACCCGCATACGACCTTTTCGTTTGGTAGCGTTTTTTTTTTTGGTATTTCTTTTACTTTCTTTTTCACTAAAAGCTTAGCGACTATTTTGCAGGCTTCGCGAAGTTCAGCCGACATATTGCGCACTATATTATGAAAATGAAACTGGCTTGCCAAATATTTCTATTTTTGTACTACAATGTAAACCTTTACTGGCATGCAAATAAACTGGCACGACGACTGGCGCCACTAAAACCATACATGTGTAAACTCACCTTAACCTCAAACAGTGATTATTTTCGATACCAAATTCTTTTACGGTTTCATGTACTTGTTTTTTCATGAGGTGGGTAGCTAAGACAAAGATCGCTGGTCCCGCAATCGCATATAATATTTGCGAATTACAGGATCGCTCCATTTTGTACAATTTTCTATACGTTTAAAGTAATAAAGTAGCAAGCCGCAACGAAAAATGTGGTTGACAGTTATAGTTTTTTTCTGCGCATGATTTTGTACGAAATTTATTACAAAAATTTCTGTAACTGCCAAACAGGATTGTAATTTGTAAATAAATTGGGAACTAAATTCAGTAACGAATTTTCTCAAAAAATGTGTAACCAAATTATGAACAAAATTGTGTAGACGGCTTTTATCCACAAATAATGATCATTACAGAGCCGTGAGGCTCCCCTGAAGGAATGGCTGGCACTGGAGGCACTTCTTGGTTGACAAAAACACTCTGACTTCTTTAATGAAGATAACTGTCTAAAAATGAAATTTAGCAAGTAATAATTAATGTCATTTTGGTTTTTCGGACTGTTGAGCCGTGGTCGGGTTGGATTTGATCCAGAACTTTCGGCTACATCTGCGGTAGCCATCTTCAGTGGCGCTGTCGGCGAGAGCGAAGTGCTCTACCGCAGATGTAACCGAAAGCTCTGAATCAAATCCAACCCAACCACGGCTCAACAGCTCGAAAAACATAAATGACATTAGAATTAGTCGTGAAAGCCTTCATTCTTCAATAATTGATTGATGCTGCCAAATGCTTTCGAATAGTCTATTATTATTATTATTATTTCCAAGGCATTTAAAACATTGTCTTGCAAATTGAGTAGGTAGGGCCGATGTTGTTGTATATTTTTTTCTAACGGATTGCGCATTGGGTAGTATAAGGTACTTGCTTTTAGCCACGTGCGCTTAAAATTATTAAAATAACTAATATTTTTGAAATAATTCAGTAATTAGGCAGCAGCGGTGGCGTAGTCCTAGACGTTATACCGAAAAGGCTTTTCTTCAGTTCAGATTACCATAGGCAGGTCAAAAATCGGATTAACAAGGTGCCATTGAGCTTCTTATAAGTAGTCGCGGTGCTCCGGTATTTAGGTTTCTGCCTACGCGGCTGCTTCAATGAAAAAAAATATGGATGTATGTTTACATAGCAATAGATAGGTAGTAAGTACCGTAGAGTTTTACTGCAATTATTAGTTCGTCGTAACGTCTACGTCTATTACCGTTACAAACTTGGCAACACGGGGTGGTAATAAGGGCCCATCGAATTGTAGGAAGCTCCCTCGAGGCGCAAAGTTTTTAACCACTGAAGGCGGTCGGTTACCGTCAGCGCTGACAGGCGGCAGTACTCCGTTGCACTTCCACCGTCTATGATGATGAAACTGCTGCAATAGCGGCCGCGCCATTATGCAACCGGTCTCGGTCTTCTTTCCCGCGCTGTTCCTCGTTTGTTCATGCCGATAATGAGTTTCCCGCGATTATTTGTGACGTCCATGGAGATTATGACATTGGTGGCGTCGCGCGACAGAAAGACGCCAGAAACCCAATAGGGCATCTACCGGTGAAAAACAGTGTTCCGTCTTTATTGTTTGCCTTGGGTGCACGCTGCACGTGCAGACTCGGATTACCATTATTACGGGATGGCGCAGCGTTGCCGTTGCGAATGGATGGGAGCGTGAGAAGGTTCATTAAATAGGTAGGTAGTTTCGGAGGTAGCGCGGTATTTGGATTTAAGATGTTCGTCTAAGTCTACAGTGTAACCGACAGTTGAAAATTGAAGAGCGGGGAGCGTGGTGGCTGCATGCTTAAGGCAACGCAGATGCCCTTATAAAATATTTTCCTGAAAACATTGGCAGGCTACGGGTGCGCGCACTGTAAATCCGCCACTGCATATCCCAGATAGGGAGCTCAATATTTTTTCTGGGGACATGATCTCGCTACTCCTGCGCTTGTTAAGCATTATTCCCCATAATATATGAATGACTATTCCGGAGTAATATTGTCCAACAATTCAAAACTGATCTCCAAATTGCGATCTAGTTATTCGTTCGGAAGATATTGAATAGTAACTTTGTCGAAACAGGGGGCTCAAGTTTTTTTCTGGGGGCATGAAACATTCCTCGCTACTCCTGCCCTTGGTAAGCATTATTCCCCGTAATATATGATAACATGGTCATGCAAGACAACTGTTGAAATATACTCTAAAGGCTCTACAAGACTATCCGAAGTGAAGTTTTTCCCGAAAATGCACATGAAAATTGACGCTTTGATGTTCGAAATAGCTCCATCGGTACCCCATGCTAGACATAAGTTTTGGCAGCTGACCTTGTTATTCTTGTCACCTGGATTGCGGTGTTGCCAGCTTGTGACAGGTTTTTGCTACCTTTGCTACTTTGTTAGAATGTTATAAAAAAGAAGCTTTAAATAAAATATTGAGGAATACCAACGGAGAAACATAACACAGCATAATAATGTTTGGCAAATAGCTAAAGTGATTCCGATAATTATTCCCGTTGTACGTGGAAGTACAAACGAAACAAGACTGATGGTGTTTATGTTTTATGAAAATTTGTATTTGTACGAAGTGTTATCAAATTTTTGAATCATTCATATCTCGTGTCCACAATTTGCACTTAAACATAAAACAATTATTTATATTGTAGATTTCTATGTGTATTCATAAATGGTGTGTGTAGGTATTTTGGGCTAAAATCAATACCAGCATGATATTTTGATATTTAAATTGCAGTAAAATACTGGGCATAATAAAAATATATAACCTATAATAAATTTGTACAAAAATATATTTTATTAGTTGTTTTACCATATTCATCCTAAAATTCTTTGTTAAATGCATTGTTTTTATTATTTTGCATAGTATTTTACTATAATTTAAATATAAAAATATCATGCTACTGCTGATGTTATCCCAAAAAGCTAGACACACACTATTTATACACATGAAAATCTACTATATAAATAATTGTTTTATGTTTATGTGCAAATTGCGAACACGATATGCAAATGATTAGAAATTCGTAAAAATAGAAATTTTTATAAAACATGAACACCACCAGTCTTGTTTTGATTATTCTTGCACGTACAATGGGAATATTCATCGGAATCACCTTTATCTATTAGGAAACCATTATTTTACGGCTTAATTTATATGTTTCTCCATTGTTATTCCTCAATACTTTATTCGAAGCTTCTTTTTTTATAACATTCTAACAAAATAGCAAAGGTAGCAAAAACGTCCGATGAGCCGGCAACACCATAATCCAGGTGACAAGAATAACAAGGTCCGCTAAAACTTATGTCTAGCCTGGGTCACCGACGAGCCATTTCGAACGTCAATTTTTCAATTTTTATTTGCATTTTTGAAGTGTTGTGTAATGATTTTAGGACAAATTTCGCTACAGATACTCTTGTAGAGCCTGCAGAGTATATACAGTTGTCTTGCGTGGCCATGTTATCTTTGTTCGTGCCGAATGGCCAACTTATTTCACTTGTGTAAGTTGAGTTTTGTACTCGGGCGTTTAAATTGGTCAAATAGGCCTTTAGAGCCTTATTTTCTGTATTTTAGCTCAGCAATTTTCTGCTTAGTAGAGGAGATATACAAGGTGGCCAACAACTCGATTCGGTTGGTAGTGCCGTGCAGAGAAATGTGAGGTTGCCACTTCTCATTTGTTGACATCAGTTGCCATTGTCCTTTTGTCGTACTATTAGTTCTTTATTGTTTAGTTTGT